GGAAGTGATTTCGAAGCCTTTGGATCGCACATGCACAGGACAGCATCCCCCTAAAATTTCAGCCTCTCAGCTATGCCGACCTCCCAAATTATTTCCCGTCAAAATTTTCGCGTCCCCGCACCAAGGAAAGAAGTCTACTTTGAGAACTGAGTATGAAATCTTTCGTTGGGCAGAGAACATTTCCCCAAAATTTCAGCTTCCTAGCTCACCTGGTTCCTGAGTTAGCAATTTTCCAAACAAAATTTTCAAGTGAGCGAGACTTGAGGGCACATCTGGCCAAGAGACTCAGTAGCAAAATTTCGGCCTCCAAGCCTACCTAGTTGCCGAGTTGAAATAATCGGACAGGCGCGCACACACACGGCACACACATATGCATGCATAAACATACATATACACAAACACACACCAAGACTCGTTACAATATGCGTTTCTGCATTTGCGCAAATGCGCCAAAACCGACGAGAAACAAAACCAATGAGCTGGTAAACGCAGCCAATCCTCCCCCGGATCCCAGAACCCACCGGTCCCGGCCGTCCAAACTTACCGCACCAACATGACCGACCGCTCACTGTATCCGCAGCTGCCCTACACTGCCAGTCTCGGCGACATGCCAGACTATTGACAGCTGCTTCACCCAAGCTCAGGATTTAGACGCGCTATTGCAGCAGTGCGGGTAATCTTGACGCGCTGCCCCTGACTTGGCACGGTGCCATCGGCCTCAGTTCGAGATTTGACGTGTTACATGCTCAAGGTGTGGGCGTGCGTGAGGGCAAGGGTTAAGTCTGTTGGGATGCCCATGGGGAAGGTATTGTCGTAGATTTTCGAATTTCTGGCTTGTCTGGTTCCCGAAATCGTTTCCCGTTAATGCGTTTTTCACGTGCCCGTACGTGAGAGGCAAGAAAACAAACGGAAAATAAGGTTCATTCGTGTACGTGCACTCCGTCTTGGATCTGCCTATGTCTATTCGTAGGTGTAATTTTTGTTTGCGTGCTCGTTTCTTGGTGACACCAGGATGTTTCCGGGATGGCTTGAGGCAGTCACGGTAGATAGGCTCGGCTAGCGCTCGACACACGTGGGCGGATGTAGATCCCAGGGCGAACAGATGCGCACATCCTGTTCACGTGGCCCAGCGCACAGGCCATGCACTTGTCAGCTTTCTCGAGGTGGACAGCGCGAGATTTGGAGTTGCATGTTGCTACTCATCACAAGCTGGCATGGAGAAAGGTGGAGAGGGAGGGGAGAGCGGTTTACGGAGTTGGCAGGGGAGGGAGCTGGTGGAGGGTTCCGCGTCTTGCTGCTCACTTAATGTGGATTCAGGAAATACGGTTGAACTGATCGCGAGGCTCGTGCTGACGTGGACCTCTCGGCTCCCCCTCCCATATGCTTAACCTTCTACTATTGTGGCACGTAAGGCCATCAGTGGTTTTTGTTTTAATTCTCGTGGACTGCCCTAATTATCGAGGCGCTGTCCATTTGAGTACTCTTCCGTACACGGGCTGGTCAAATTCACGATGAGGGTGAGTTGCTGGAATGGATTGGGACTGGTCTTCCCAGAGATGGCAGGACAGGACGTCGAAATTGAAGCGCTAACTCAGTATCAGTTTGTTGGCTGTAAATTGTGCATTCTGTTTCAGGTGGCTCTTATCGAGCAGTAGCCCCCCGAGAGTGGGCCGCCGAAGGGGCCGCACTGAATTGGTGGTTGCCTGTGATCGGCCTCCGAGATCACAGCGCTCGCCTGTGGCTGCGACGAGCCACTGGACTTTACGCGACTGCTGGCTGTACGCCAGAAGTTCGGAACGTCGCGGGAAAGCGGAACTGGTGGATGAGATTCGCAGGC